GAAAGTCATTGTTTAGAAATGGGTTAAAATACCGGAAGATCACATTCGAGAAGCATGCAACTCAATTTTAAACCGTTTAAATAGGTAACAGTAACACTTCAATCGCCTAACCCTGTATTTGTTTAAATAAATATACATATCTGCATCCTTATAGAATAAAATAATTTCAAAAATAATTATTATTGTAGCAGTTATTTACATTTTTTAATATATTTTATAGCGTACTTTTTATTATGTGCATTTGTTTTCTTTTTGTTTTTTAATTTAAAATAAATTACTTTAAACTATAAAGAGTGTACTAGTATCTTTTTATATCTAGCTCTTCTCTTTTAAGTTTGTTGCAAGGAAACTGTGCTTTCTCTCACGTTAATATACCAGTTTCGTCATATTTTCACAATATATAGTACCAAATGCTGAAATATAATACTGGGAATGCAAAAAAAAATTAAAATACTGGTTGAAGCGCATAAAAATTTATGCAAATTAAAAATGTATTATTGTAATTTTATCATTTAAATAGATGAAATATATGTATATAAAAATAATTTCTTTAATAAAAAATGTTGTGTTAAAATTGTAAAAATACAATAATGATGTTTCTTTAAGTAAAAACGGTACACTTTAAGTATTAAGTCTTCCCTGTAGAGATGTTGTTAATTACAAAACGACAAAAACTCGAGTAAAACTTTCTCAATACACCAAAATATTATCACAGCATCTGGTAACATATTTTACATCATATGAACATTAAATTAACATAAATTATTTGATATTTTCAAGTTTTACACAGGTACATATCACCAACAAACGTATATGAAAATATTTGCTCAAGACAGGAAACAAAAATAATTAACATCACAATAAAGAGTTTAATATAACTTTTGGTTAAAAACCAATTATATTTTTTTTTCACTTACATATATGTAAATGTAGACATAAATACATATTATATAATACTAATTCCGTCTATTTTAAATTTTATTATAATAAAATTTGTGAAGTGATATTACACTTTAACGCTTTGATGTGGTAATTTAAATTGAATCAAACCATAACATGAAAGTAAATTTATTTAATATTTGAATTTTGACTTTTAAATATGACGCTCTAAAATCAAAGAAAAACATATATCACTTCAGTTAATTACTGAATACTATACTCAAAGGGTAATTAAATTTTAATAATAACTTTTTAAGAATTATATTAATTTGTGTTATTTATATATATGAATAAGATATTTAACATTACTCCTATAATTAACTAAAACACTAATTAAGTGTTTTAGGTGTATTATACATTAGATTAGATTAGATTTTAAGACGGGTTGAGAACTTGTCACCACGTCACTGCATCCTTTGAGGATTATGGTGACATACCCACTTTAGTTCCATAGACGAGTAGCAGTTAAAAACGCCATTATGTCCTTTGGTGGGATGTTGCCTTATAAGTGGATAGGCAGTGGATAAGTAGCGAACTCTGAGTCTAGCGAGATAAGTCTGGATAAGTACCGAACTCTGAGTCTGGCGAGATTATCACAGCGACATAAAATGTGTATTACTGTTTCCTCTTCTTCGCAACAAAGTCTGCAGCTATCGTCCCTTGTAATACCTAAGTTCGATAGATGCTTTTCAACTCCATAATGCCCAGTGAGAAACCATGTTACAAGTCGGATACCACTTCTGTTCAGCATTAGTAGCTTCCTAGTTCTGGCTTTTGAGCAATATGTATTATACATTATTTAATTTGGTAGAATTAAGGTAATAATTAAGGTATTATAATTAATTAATTTAGTAGAAAAAAATGGATAATACAGATACATTGTTATTTAAAATAAATGCTTTGCTATCAATTTAATTTCAACAAATATTTAAAAATGCATATAAAAGTAAAAATCGAATCTAATTGAGAAATAAATTTCTCTAAAAAAAATTATTAAAATTTCATTATAAGTAATTGGTTGTTTTAAAAATTTTGTAAGAAATTTGTTGTTAAAAATCTTTGTGAACTTTATACCCCAATATGTGAACCTCATATTATCTATGTGAGCACAATGAAACTACTACACTACTACGAATTTTCTAGTCCTTAAAATTGTAGTTAAGTATTGAATTTAAGCCAATCCCATCATATATTCATTATATAATAACAATTAAGTATTAAGTATTTTATACTATAAACTTTACAAACCAACATTTTATCAATATTAACATAACCCTAATAGTATTAATATTAACATAACCCTAATGCAAGTAGTTAGAATAATGCCTATTTATTATTTTGCGAACATAATATTAGGCTTATAAATATAAAACTTCCGACTATAAAGATACTTGTTTTAAGAAAATATTATACCCACTAGTATTTGAATTTAACAATAATATGCTATGTTAATGTATCCTTACAATTTAGCAGATTCTTTTTTATTTGCTATTTATTCTCTACTAAAAAATGACTCCATATACAATTGTTTTTGTAGTGTAACATCCTGTGTACCGGAGAACTCTTTTATATGCTTCGCGTTCACACATAACCACTTTTTAAGTGCTTGACGGGATGTTACAGTTTCTTGACTTGATAGCATTTCAAGTGGAATGAATGTAAAAACTAAAGTACACCAAGGTTTACAGTACAAACATTCGGATGTAGTTACAAGTATCTTGAATGAAGTCAGTCAGTCCCCTGCAGTCGTCCATAAGTACAACTTTGTTAACGAATTTATGCATTACTCGCAATATGAAACATATAAAATATTTAAGCATAAAATCAACTTTATGGTACAAAATTTCATTTTCTTATGAGAAAATTCGTTATTAATATTTTTTGTAATTGACATATGGAAATAATAAGTTAATAAATGATCAAAATGTATCAGTTGCTTAATTGATATTCAAAAAATTTTTTATGTATTTTATATTATTGTGAATAAAAAGATTACATATTTCGTTTTTTAAAAATGTTTGTAACGGAGTGAAAACCATCACTCGTACCTAAGTGGATCTATCTATTTATACTATATATCGCTCAAATAATACAAGTTAATAATAACTTCAACTGAGATATCGTGATGAGTGTTTTTCTAAACATATTATATTATATTGCAGAAGTCACAGAAAGAAAAATGGATGTTATTGCTTAATCGATACGTAAACTGCCAAATTCAACCAGATATATAAGCCCACGAAATAACGAGCGTGAAGAACATTCCAAATACACATTTTAAAAGAACATTGTTCTTAATTAGCAGTGTAACTTTCCTTTAAAAAGTCTTTCTTTCATCCTTTCTCCTATTTAATTCTATCTCTGGGTATGTAGTAACGAAATGACGGTTTTGTACTACTTGGAATGAAAAGAAAAGTCTCCCACCACCAAATCCAAAGAAATAACCCATAAATGTAACTTATATAGGTTTTAAAATCATAATTTGCGCAAAAATATTTTTCATTTACTAAATTCAAAGATAAGTTAGGCATTTTAAACCATAAAAACACAATCAAAAAATCAAACTAGAATGGCAATCGTACCCATTACATTTTGATATTATTTTGAAACTCCTATTACATATACCAATTTCGCTACCACAGCAATAAATTCGTAACAAAGGATTCATAATAAAATCTGTATGTCTCAGCAAGTAATCCGAACTATCTTAGGCACAACTATATAGACATAGTATCAAATTGCACATATTAAACAAATTAAAGTAGAATATTAAGAAATAATGTTAATTACAAATAAATTATAACAATTTAAGAAGATTATAGTCTTAAACCACAACAGAAGTTTAACTAAATTTGGAACAGTTATCATTTATATTTTGTTCAAATCAAATACATGTTATTATTATTATGACATGTTCTATAAATTACAATCACACTTCAAGAACTTAGTTTATTTACGTGCTAATCCTCTAAGCTAGTTAAATGATTTGTTAGTTACTCTGTTTATGGACCTGCTCCATGTACTTTTGACCGTCTACAATTCGTTCTTCATTGTGGATTCCGTTTTAATTCTGAATGTGCAACTTCACTAACCGGTTTACACAGGGTATGTCCCAGCCAACCATATTTCCGCTTCATCATCTGCTTTTCAATCGGCTGCTGATGTGTAATATCCCATAACCGTTTATTACTTAAGGCTCTCGGCCACCAAATGTTTTATATCTGGAGAAGGTATCTGTTAATGTATGTCTGCAGTTTTTGTGAGATCGCGACCGGTTAGCAGTGTTGCAATAAAATTCGACACTATTTGAAGCGACAATCTCAAAAACTATAAATCCAATTAAACCGATTAGTTCATTATGGTACAATTAAAAACTAACTTTATATCTATAGTTAGTTGAGAAATCATTTTGATCTTTTACTTAAGCTTAAAAATTTAGCCTGATTAAGCTCATGTTTTTTACCGAGTCTATTAAAAAACTATGATCTTTGATAAACTGCTGGGAGATGGTGACCCGGAGTTTTTCTCATCTTCCCCTTAACTGCGATATTTTAACGCACACTTATAGAACAATTACCTTAATTAAACTTAAAAGATCAACTGTTAGATGAAAGACAACCCAATACAAACCAGCTTTTATGAAAGTGTCTGCAAGTTTTAGATCACTTGCATAATAATAATAATAATAATAATAATAATAATTAGTAATAATTTTTGGGTATTAAAGGATAAATCAACTTTCTTGAAATATTCCAAGCAGTATAATACGGATGATATCCTTTCTAGCTGCTCCACTTGGTAGCAGAGTACAATAACCCATAGCAACAAAAAGTTTCACAAGTTTTCTAATTGCATCGTTTTTTTGAATTCGACAAAGAACAATAGTTGACCCTACCCGTTTAAAAAAAATGCATTGAGTAAATTTATTCAACTGTAATTATTGCGTCTGATAATAAAGGAGACTTTTTGTTTGTATACTATATTTTATATACATATTTTATGTAATTAAAAACTATAGTAATAAATATCTTAAATTCATTTTTAAATTTTTTTTCCATCAATAATGTTACTCATTACAAAATTTTCAGTTTCATTCAGTGTTCACATCATCATATATTTTATATTTAATTCAAACCTTGTTAGAGCAGATGGTATTATTCTGGAAAATATGACACAACTTTTAAAAGGACCTTACAGACCTGACAAACATACATTCTCTAAGCATCTAGTTTCAATTAGAGGAAATAAAATTTTCCTTATATACGGCGACAATCATATTTGTGGAGGGTCTATCATGTCACCAGATGTTATAGTTACGGCTGCTCACTGCCTTGTAGATTTGTAAGGCAATACACATAAATTTTTTATATAATATCAATTTTCAGATATTTTGAATATTGTTTTTGATATATTTCAAATGAATTTGAATAAATGTTACTAGTATTAAAATTTATATAATTAACTTAGTTTAGAGCGAATAAAAATTTTGTTTTTTCTTTCAGGAAAAAAGGAACTGTATTTGATTCTGAACGTTTTGTTGTTGTTGCAGGAAACCCATTTATGTTTCAGCGATCAAATACAACCCAAACCATGCATATAAAAACAGTTATTATACATCCACTATACAATGCAAGTAAATACGATTATGATATTGGTATCTTGAAACTTCTTGGAAATTTAAATGAAGACACCAATAATGTACTTAGAATCCCATTAGCTAAATTAAGACCTTCTTCAACTACAATGTGTACAACGATAGGCTGGGGAAAGTTATTCTATGTGAGTATATTAGTTTTAGGATGTAGTACAAAAAATTATTCTATGAAATTATTTAATACTCGTACAAACAGATGGGACCATTGACAGATGAAGTACTATATGTTGATGTTATGGTGTGGGAGTATGAAAAATGCTTACAACGTATGCCCATGATAACTACACATATGTTATGTGCCAACCATTTATCATCTTTTGCAAAAGATGCTTGCTCTGGAGATTCTGGCGGCCCACTTATCTGTGGTGGCGAACTAGCAGGTATTGTATCATTTGGTGTAGGTTGTGGCTTTCCTGGCTTTCCATGCGTTTATACAGATGTGGCATATTTTAGAGATTGGTTAATTGAAAATACTGCTGTCGATTTAATTTTAGGTAATCACTTACTATATTTTGTATTTCAAATCTTTTTATTATGTGTAAATTATTTTAAATAAAACAAGTTTATATATAGTATATCTATTTTAATGATAGAAGAAATATTAACGAGAATTTTAATTTGTGCTCATATTTTCAATTTTACAATTAAGCATGAACGAAAAAGTACATCCATGTATTAATTTAAAGTTTGTGCTAAAAGAATTAGACTTAAACATTGTTTAAGCAATTGTTTGCTCCTAAACACAGAAATTGCTAAAAGCGGAATATCTTGCTCCTAAACGAGAATTCTGCTAAAAACAGAATATCTTGGTTCCTTTTGGATATTCTGCTCCTTTAGCGGAAATCCTAATACATTAATAAATATAGGTAAACATAGGCAATGTCAATTAATCATTTATGTTTTTGTAATAGGTAATATTAGTAGTGATAAGTATTAAAAGTGTAAGTGCAAATATATATTTTTTCGTGCGAATTTTCCCGTAAAAAGGAGTTCGTATATAACTTGCTTAAAGATAAACACATCAAATCTGATCCTCATTTTAAATAATATCACTTCCGAAATTTGTTTTTCTTGATTCTGAGAACTAGTCAGGGAAACGCAGTAGATCCATATGCAATCTACCGAATCTAATTGAAGGTTATAAATTGCTAAGCACAAGCGAACGGAATTATTTAATTAAGTTTTATATGCAATCTTTTGACAATGATCAGTCGAGTTTTTCTCTTTCGGACCATCCAATAAACCCATACTTCCAATAAAAAAACTCCTAAAGCAAATAGCAGTAAAACAGCGGCAAAAAGAAAACTTCCACCCACTTGAGATAAATTTAGACCTCTGAAAGTTTTTTCATTCGGGTCGTTGTGATATTTTTTGTTGCGCTCAGTAACTAAATCTCGTTCCCACTTTTGCATAATTCCTGATTCAATTATATGTTGTATGACGGGATTAATTTTATGCAATAAATGAAACTTTTTTGGCATTAACATTGTTACCAGATATACATAGAGATTTTCATCTCTATTAAAGCAATACAATCTATCCCGTGGTATGCGTGGATTATATAAGTAGTGTTGACGAGAAACAGCTACAGCCAAATTGATATCATTTACAGCATCATTAAGACAATCTTCTATATTGAGACACATCTCAAACTTTTGTCGTATGTACTTGAATATCTACGAAAAAAAAATGTCAATACTTTTATACAAATTATATATCCCTTATAAATTATACCTCTCCGTCTTTGTTCAGGTGTCGCACATGTTCGGCATTTCCTCTTATAGACATTTTATGATCGTACAACTCAAACAAATGACTAATTTGGTATGAGCTTCTCGGTGTGGTAAGAGTGCTAACAAGAAAGCTTTGATAAACATTACTAAACATAAGACCCATAAAGAATGTTGAGCCAAAGAGCAATTTTAATGCTGTAGGTAATCGTTTTAATTGTACTGATTGACTTAGAATAATGCCAGAAACACGCATTGTTGTAGCAAAATATCCTTGAAAATGTATAATTCTTATATTTAACAATTTTTGTATTTTCAATGTCGCAATTGAAGTGATTAAGATAAAAGCAATTGTTAAAAGCCAGGAACTCATTTTAAAACTTGCCAAGAAGTTAAAAAGGTTGTGTCTTTTTTTTGCTTTTGCGACACACCATGTCAAATCATCCTGATAATAGGGTATTGTACTCGAAACAAATTGACTAATACTTGGATCTTCATCAATACCTCCAAAAATTAATTCGATATCTCTAAATAAGAAAATTTATTAACTAGCATTAAATTTATATTGTATTAAAGCATCAAACGGATTTACCCATCGATTAATTGTTGAAACAATTGATACAAGTTCTTATTTTCCACTTGCATATTAATTGTCAAATGTAAATGTTCACTAATGGTCTGTACCATTTTATACTCTATACCTGTAAATGTCATATCATCAAAAGTATTCTCACTGCTACCTTCAAAGTCCGATTCATGCGAATTTTCCTCAATCTCTTCTTTATACGTTATACTTTCTGTTTCACTCATGATGTATGGTTCCCATGGTCTGTAGGCTACCACGAGTGGACAACCATTCAAATCATTTGGAAATTTGCTACTAAACGACGAGTTACTTATTTCTTCCACAATAATTCTAGGAAATTCCAATGTACTTGATTCATTTGTAATTAATTTGGAGAATCCAAAACTGTTTTCACTACTTGAATTTCTGTTATTTTCAAATTCATTTGAGTCCACCGTCATTTCAGTTTCATTTCTGTTGTCAAGAGTGTTGTCATTTCCATCTTCATTTTCACCACCATCATTTTCACCACCTTCATTAGACAAATATTCATTTGAACTTTCAGTTTCTTCATAATCTTTTTCATTCTCGTCTCTTTCCTTATCCTGATAATCGCATATATCTAAAGTCTCCACTGCAATAACACGATTGCCACAATTATTATCTGGGTTATATGGAAAAGCAGTTCTGCCATAGTAAAGTACATTCTCTTCGTTCTGTCCTATAACGTTAACGTTATAAATTTTCTTATTCATAAAACTCAGCAAAATTTCTATCATAAGTTCCGTCATTTCTTCATCCGTTTCCTCTATCGAAGCTAAATACACAACGAACTGTGCAAGTGGATTCCAATTAACTGTTTCCTTCCAATCTTGAAACACATCTTCTAAATCTTCGTCTTCTAAATTTTCTAAAATTACAAAATAACATTGCGGTTTCTCATGTAGAACAGTTTGTGTTGGATTTTTAATTCCCTTTTTTTTTGGATCCCTAACCACTACACTCCACGGATAACTGGAATTCGCATGCAATGCACGTAATAAGTTCTCTTGTATGTTTAAAAAAGTGGACGATATACTCATCGATAAAACGAAACCATGCTGGTATTCGCCAGAATTGAAATATTTTTGTAGTAATGCTATTGTGCAAACAACCTGCGATTTATCTTCTTCAGGTACTTCTATTAAATTCATGCCAAATCCATGCACATAAATAAAATTTGTAATAAAAATGAAACATCGCACATATAAAAGTACTAACATTTTGAACCACTTAAAAGAGACTAACTTCCAATTTTCTAACTTCAAATTTGAAAACAAATTTTAACTAATAAATAAAGAAGGTAAACTATATCTTATCACTTTACGTGAAGTAAATTGTTTCCATTATTCCCTTAAGAATCACAAATTATTTTAGTAAATGTAATCTTTCTTTGGCATCAACGTAATTTATTACTAATTTCTATTAGTGAAATATATTCAAACAAATAGGTTCACAGATAGTTTCATGTTTTGTTTCTTGACAAATTTCGAATCTTAAAAATATTTAATTATATCAACAGGGAAATAATTATGTCATGATATTAAATTTTATTTTAATACTGCAATCGCAAAAAAAAGACATCAACATAAAACACGCATATACGAGTACTACGTTCAAGCTGGCATTGAGTAATACTATATAATATTTTTCGAAAAATATTTCTATTTATATTGATTATTTATATTTAATATAATTAACAAGATGTTCAATATTGTTCTTGTTCTATAAACAAATCAATTGGGTTTGACGGGACCATGATTATCAATAATGGTATATTATTATATCAATAACCAATCAGTAATCAGTCGATAATCGAATTTTGTTCTATGCTGATATGTAAGTAAAAAAACTATACCCAAATGATATTCACTAAAACAGAGGTTATTTCAAACTGCTATAAAAAAAAACTGATCAAGGCGTAGTACATGGCAAATAGATCTACACTTTACTTGACGCTTATATAGTAGATTATCGCACATAAGGAGAACCTATTAGACCTGGTTTTCTCCATAAAGTAAACTAATAGCCAACAGAAGAACGTAACAAATAAAGGTACAAAAAATAATCAAATGATGTGTGCGTCAAATTGATTAAAACACTAAGGACAAAATCTTTCAAAAAAACCATATAATCTATAAAGTAATTTAAAATTTCATTTATATTTAATTGTAAAATTATATTATATTAAAAAATAAAATGGTTTTATTTAAGCACTATATCTATATTCATTTCGTCCTTTGAATTTTATAGAATTCTTTCATTATTACGTTCACCCCTCACACACCAATATTCTTGGCAGATATATGAAGACAATTTTTCCTTTAATTTACTTCAACCTCTGTTGCATTAATCACAAAAAATTCCAATAAAAACTTATTTAATCCTACCAAACCCTTAACATCACTATCGTTGTCTTCAATCTCGACTTTATCAGGATTTAAGTTAATTAAATTTCACTCCAGTTTTTGGTACCCAAAAATGCAAACAGTCAGAGAAAGAGAAAGTTTGGTCAAGCCACCCAAAGAATTCCAAATCAACTGTGTTATAGATAGCATCGCGCTGTTAGATCACTCACCACGCTTCGTAATCCATTGAATTTAATTGAATTATGTTGTTGATCAAGTTAAACTGCTAATGAATTTTTTAATTATGTGATACAAATGCATTTGTGGATATATAATTTTGAAATTGCAATATATCCATTAAACTATAAACCGTTTTATGTAAAAATATTACCTAGTAACATTCAGTAAATACTTTAATCATTCAATTCGATCAAATATTTTTTTATCTTGCTTGCCTATACCCTTATTATTGTAATATTATCAAATGTAACGAATTATTTTCAAAATTTAACTTATACTTTCTTCCAAACACCAATCTCAACAAAATATTTACCAACAATCGAATAGTCTGCCATACATCAATCAACGGATATAATTGCCAGATTCAATTAACCTTTTAAGAGTTATTGCACTACAAACACAAATGAGTAGAAAAATATCTTATACTCCAACCTAATAATACACGATAGAAGAATTAGTGTATGATAACTAACTAACTTTTTTTTTATGTACTTACTACTTTTGATGCCCGTACAAGGTCGTTTTTATATAGCCCACATGATTTCAAGTCCTTTCCACTACTTTTACTGTAATTTGTGCTGTGGACTTTCTGTTTCAGTTTAAGTAACACAAAGGTCATTAAACACTTCTCTCGCAATTATTTTATTCACTCTCATGCAAATTTTAGTTTTCGCCGCTAGCATTACAAATTTTTGGCCGCTTTTTTCAAAGTTCCATAAGGAAGGGCACGTGGAATTGCGGTCTGAAAGTAACAACACCACATTATTAAAATTTTATGTGGAAGAACTTTTTATGCTCTTTGTTTGGTTCGGACTGTTTCAATTTTTTATAATTTTATGCTTCCTCTTAGGGACACTGGATTTAGTTATAGTCCAACCCTCTGTAATGTGGGTTACGAGAAGAAAAAAAATCGGATGGACTGCAGCAAAATTCAATTTGAAACAAGTTGTAAACAAGAGTGAACTTTTGTTTACTTCCCTACAATGTACGACATTGTTTGGTAAGCAGGTGGTCCACAGCCATGTGAAAGCTTCATATTGTTTTCGTTTCCTTTACTTTCTCCTGTCATTTCGTTTTTTAATTTGATAAAAGTTTGTCATGGAACAAATGTTGAAGTGTTGCGCTTGGAGCACATTTCTCAACAAGGGAAAAATTATCATTAAATTTTTCTTTCTAATTTTTAATATATGTACCTATACATACTTATACACATATATAGATATACGTATGTATATTGTTCATAAGAGAATATGCACTTTGTATTTTGTTAGATGACAATGTGCGAGTGTCCCACAAAAAACATAAACAGTAGCAATATTAAAATAATTTATTTACATTGCTAAAGATACTGGTATAATCAACTTTGTATTCATGCACTAGGTTAGTAAATTCAACATAATTAATTCAAGTTAAAATTATTAGAAAATTTTAATTATTATAAACTGACTTAGTAATTTCAATAAAAGGTGAATGGACATATACTGGCTTTGTCCAGCTTAAGTTTCTTACACACATATAATTTAGAGTTCACTAACAAAAGTTTTTCGGATTAGAATCAGGCATTTATATGCCATTTCTTAACCCCATTGTTCTCATTAGATCTAGACATCATGACAAAACTTTGCAAACAGAAAATAGGAATAATGTAGGTATTTATAAAAACAAGTAGAGTTTTGATTTTAAAGATAATACCTGTATACTGCTCCATACAGTAAACGATATTCAGTTTAAAAGAAACTAACTATATTATGAAATAAGCAACATACATAAATAAAACTGAAGCTGTGCGAATAAATATAGGAAGGAATCAATATATATATAAGAATATATATTGATTTGCTATTCATAAATTGAATATAGGAGCATGTATGCCTTTACCAAAGAATATAGAGTACTCTAGATTCTTTGCCTTTACGTTGCATTGAGTAGATTAAGAATATATAATTTCTTTTTTTAAATCTCTTATATATGGACTTGCAAATAAAAGACTATCCTAACTTCTAAGTTAATTTACATGATCACATTTTTACTGTTGCAGCTTCTAAAAGAAATGCACATATGTTGTATGTAAAATAACTACAGCGGAACTATATAACGCAAAATCACTAAATTTATCAAAACCCTTATGAAAGTAAAATATATTTATTTTATTATTTATCTAAATAATAATAAAAGCTATTTGTGTTATTGATAAAACTGATAATTACTTAGTCTTTGGTGTAAAATATTAACTCGTACTTCAGAAAATATTTTCTACTAATTTGTAGATCAAAATAAAAATTTAATGCTATTTGTTATATAAACATTTGCTCTTAACTTTAACAAACTTTAATCAATTACTAAAAAAAACTGAAATGTGTTCCATCCGTTCCATTTTAGTCTCAATAATTTATAGACATTGAGTACTTAGCATGTAATTTATTTCTGTAGCGTGTAATGAAATCTAGCATTACGGCAACGCAATTACTGCACAATAATCGTTTATTATTTTTACTGTTATTGTTACGTACTCACAACGCAGGCACATTTCCCGTAACCACAGAAGCAAACAGCAACCCTCAACCGAGGAATTATAGACCACCGTTTTCCTATTATGCTATGTTCAACGGAGATAGACATTTGAGGGCAAATAACACAAATAATCAAAACACTGTGCATCAACAATTTAGTTTACAACCCGTAAATGTTCATATTTAATTGTCAATATTTAACTCCTTTTATTGACTGATAGAGTTTAAGCAGAAACCTAGCGTGCCGTTGGTCATCATAATTACTACCAAATTTATACCGATGGTAATAAAAACAACTTGTGTTCCCATTATTAAAAATTATGAATAACGTTAGATCATTTCAATTTAAAAATTTTAATCTATGTTTACTTTTACAATTCACTTAATTAGCACTTTTTTGAATGAATTTTGTATGGATTTTGTATTAAAAAATAATACTTATTCCTTTAAAGAAATGTAAGTGTAATCAACAAATTAACTTCTATTTTATTATATTCAAAATATATAGGTTTGTATATAAAAAATAGAGTACTTTCTGCCTACAAAGATATCTGAGCGTTTGGTACCCATGTCACTGTTGACAACTACAAATTCGAAGTTGTTAAAGACTTAGTATTTGAAAACCAGTGTAAACATCAAAAATGACATCAGTCTAGAGATTCAACGAAAAATCACTTTTGTCAACAGATGTTACCTCGGGCTAAATAAGCAATTAAGAAATAAAATCCTGTCTGAACAAACAAAAAGCACGCTCTTTTTTCTTTCCGGCTGCTGTATGGTGTAGAACCTTTAACAATTACCAACAGTGATGAGAAGACGTTAGTAGCATTCGAAAGAAAAATTCTTTGAAAGATCCATGGACCCTTACGCATTGGCAACGAGCACTGAATTAGATAGAATGATGTGCTGTATGAGCTATACCCTGATATTGACATAGTTAAGTGCATAGAGTGCGAATGAAAGAAAATACTTCGGTTACAAAAGTGTTTGATTCGATACCCACTACTTTTTGAAAAATTAAAGGAAGAAATATGCTTGCAGAAAACTTGAAGACTATATTTGTAGGAAAAGCACAAGAATCAATATATGACAAAGATATAACATATGTAGATAAATTTCCATTATTTCTAAGGGATGATTACAAAAATATAGAAACCCTTCTCCTCCTGCATCCAAAAATTAAATTATAAATATTAAAAAAAATTATAAGAATTCAAGCTTTTGTGAAGGAATATCACATTTTCAGTCTCAAAATTCTCCAAAACAGGCTGAAAAATTTTATAGGCATCAAAATAATTTGCTAATAGCCTAATCTAAACATTAACAAAATACAGGAAAGGAAATATTACAATCCTTTTCGAAACAGGAGAAACAGAAACAGAAGAAAAAATAATTTGTCACCTTCTTGATAATAAGAGAAAATATAAAATTAGACCATTTGTTTCTATAAAAGGCGGATCTCATAATCACAGAAATAAACCATATTTATCATCTCCAGAACAGAGAAGATATGAATATAAATCTTCAACCCATTCATGCAGTAGTAGAAAATTTGAAAGTAGATCGACTAACATCAAAATACAAGTATACAGAAAATAGAGGTAATAGCAATGATTTTACTATCTACAGCAATAGTGAGATACACGACAATAAAGACAGTTTGACAAATAATTCAACACAAAGAAACTGTGAAAAAAACACCAATTTCTCGACCTAAAAATATATCACCCACTCTTTCCAAGGACAAAATGCAAAATACAATGAACACGTATGTAAAGCTTCAGAAATTAAATTAACGTTCGCGTTCAATAGACGAAACTGTTGAAGAAACGATGGAGGGAAGTGGCGATGTAAGTAAGATATATTTTAATAAAAATGATATTTTGAAGCACCTCAAAACTTATTTTCAAAGTATACCACTAAACGACGCTGTTAAAGAAGATCATAATAAAATGGCGTATCCGCGAAATATAATGCAGGAACTGAGTGCAGAAGAATGTGAGATTGTTACGAATTTTCTTATGCTTTCAGACGATCGTGTAACGCTTACGTCAAGACGTAAATTAGTGCAGGAAAAGAAGACATTATTTAAATGGATTATAAATCTAGCGATTTCATTTTTATATCATCATAGCAATATTATATAAATTTAAATCTAGTTTTCATATACCTTAATTTAATAATTTAATTTTAATATTGAAATCAATTTCTTTAATTTTTAAAATCATTCAAAATTCTCAAAATTTTTGGCAATTTTGCTTCAGAAAAAAATTTACAGTTATGAGTACTTTCAGCGAATGGAATTCTGAAGCCATTCAACATTATAAAGATGTGAAATCTATTAAGAAACAGTTGCGTAAAGAAAATAAGAATTACTTATACCACAATCCCGAGGTAAAAATAATACATTTCATATGGTATATATAATATAAAAAGGATCTGTAAAATGTTCACATTTTAGATTCGTGCCATCTTGAGGGTTGCCATTGCAGAATTGATGAAACATAAACCAGAAAATCCTGGAGCTCATTTAGCTTCAGTTTTTAGCTGCAAAAACATACCCCTAATATTATTTAAGGTTTGTACTGTAAATATTATTTAAGGTTTGACCATTTTAAAATACCTGGTAATACTTTAAATTTTAGCTGAATCAACAAATAAAGAACGTCAATACAATTTTAAAAAGGAAGGAACAAAGCTTTGGAATTAAAACTGTTCTCAAGGAAAGGGAGTCTACCCATTCGATTCTGTCAACGGCTTCTGAATATTCCGATGTTGTTGAAGGACTTTTAGATTTTGCTCTTATTTTTAATAATTACAATAAACAAGCTGAAGCAAAATGTAAATACATTAAACAAAATCACCAAAAAAAATAAAACTACTTCAATAAATCATTTAGAAATTGTTCTCTATTTCAAATTATTACAAATTATTAGGAAGTGCTTTCTTTTTTTTTGTCAATTAACATTTCATTGTATTTCATAACGTACATATATATCGTATTCATTGCATTTAAACTTTATATTGCCAACTCGGTACCTATACCCATAGACGTACATTTTGTTGTGTTTTTTTTCTATATTATACATTCCCGAAAAACGTTTCAGATCTACTTGATCTTTTCGATTTGTTGTCAAAATGTTCTCTAAAACAGCGTAGTCCAAAGCATGGCACGTGGGCCACATGTTAGCTTTTAATCTGCTACAATTGTGCAAATTTTCTTTTGGTGTATTGATAAAACCACATTATTTTATTTTTATGGTATACTAAATAAATGAATTGAAATTGATAAATTATTAAAACTAAATTTAACATTATAGCCGTATTTTTATTTTTGTCGAAAACAACTATAAACGTGTGCATTGGTTTCTACGGCCCTCCAATCTGTACACTGAATTGTCAAACTCCTTCATGCAAATTCAATCCAATGAAATGAAGTCAACGTACAGCCACGAACCTCATAATGATATAAATCTGGATCTGAAATACGTGTGGCAATTTAAATCCTAGTTTTGTCATTGTTGGATACATAAGATCAGGGACACCTAGCTCGTTCCATTTTTAGCACACTTGTCTTTTTTAAGTGTTTTGCGTTCCGATTTCGTATAAAATTTGTGTCTTAAATTAAAATAAATTATACTAGCCCTTTAAAACTTTCATTTTTAAAACTATATTCATTATTGTCTGAAACTTAGATGTCTAGGTAAACAGATTGAAGATTTGAGCACACCAACCTTAAATAAACTGTGATATATAATAAACATTCAAATTTTGCAATAATGCATTAAAATTATAAGATTATTCATTTTATTTGTATAAAGTTTAGGAAATACATATCGCAAAACGGTGTAACGAAATAACAATTGTGACCGGGTCTATATCCCGAGGGTAGAGAATAAGTAGTTTGTGTTTATACAGATGAACAGATTTGTATATAAACAAACAAACGGTCATACTAACAGATAGAGGAACGGAAATCGTTAAATCGTTTTGCCCTATTGAGTTAATTAGATATATAAGTAGTAAAATCAATCTCTAAACCTTTTCAACTGCAACACTGTCATACAAAAATCATTATACGTATTATATCAACCTATCTTGTTTAGCTTATCAACAACATATATACCTTGTGGATCCAAACATCTTGGCATATATATTTTTACATTATGTGTCTGAAATGTTTTGATATCAAGAATATTATATATATATATAAATGTCAAATAACAAATTATAAGACTAATTTGCCTACTAATAGAATTGTCTATTATACACACAATCGACATTATACTTTAATTATTCATATTAATGGTAAAGAATTACATATAGTAAGTTCAGTTTTACAATCCACACATATGAACTGATTTGACATTTCCAGTTCTACTATAGAATTTTAAGTGAGCTTAAGTGCCCAATAATAATACAAGAAAATTTCAAGAAACTCGAATCAAATTTTTTTTTTGAAAAATTTGATCATTTTAAATATTATTATAATGTTATCGATTTGGAACTCTGATTGTGAAAGAAATCATAAAATTAAAAAAATTTAGAATATTATTTTAGTTTCTCCAGTAAAGTCATATTGTATTGTCATTGTAAAAACATTTAACAGTTAAAAGCTGAGAATAACTCATACTATACTTACAATTTGGTAATATATTAATTTATATCTAGTAGTCTAAAGGTTTAATATATAATTTTAACGTTATATACAAATTTTATAAAAATTTAACAAATAATATAAAAAATTATAAAGTTTAAAAACGCGTTTAAAAAAATTTGTCAAATTTGCTTAAAATCAAAATTTACAGTTATGAGCACTTTCAACGAATGGAATCTTGAAGCCATCCAATATTATAAGGATGTAAAATCTGTTAAGAAACAATTGCGTAAAGAAAATAAGAACTACTTATACCATAATCCTGAGGTAAAAATAATACATTTCATATGGTATATATAATATAAAAAGGATCTGTAAAATGTTCACATTTTAGATTCGTGCCATCTTGAGAGTTGCCATTGCAGAATTGATGAAACATAAACCAGAAAATCCTGGAGCGCATTTGGCTTCAGTTTTTAGTTGCAAAAATATGCCCCTAATATTGTTTAAGGTTCGCACTATAAATATTATTTAAGGTTTGACCATTTTAAAATACCTGGTAATACTTTAAATTTTAGCTAAATCAACAAATAAAGGAGGTCAATACAATTCTGAAAAGGAAGGAACAAAGTTTTGGGATTAAAGCCGTTCTAAAGGAGAGGGAATCTACCCATTCGATGTTATCAACGGCTTCTGAGTATTCTGAAGTTGTTGGAGGTCTTTTGGACTTTGCTCTTATTTTCAATAATTATAATAAGAAAGCTGCAGCAAAATGCAAATATCTTAAGCAAATGAGGCAAAAAAAATAAATATATTTAAAAAAAAAACTATAAATCAAAATGGGTTTTCAATTCTTAAATTATTGAGAGAGATTATATAAAAATTTATATAAAATCAACACCATATCATATAGTACATTTAATCTAAGGATTTTTCACGTTCATATCGTATATTTAATACAAGAATTTATCGCTTTCATATCGGATGTAAAATTATTCAAATAATGCTCAAAAAAGTACATTTATTTGTCTACCATATTCTTCTTTACTAATCTTTTCCCAAAAAATATTTTGTTGTTTGCCTTTAATTGTCATTAGCAGATGTCCAGTGACCTCCGCCTGGCAGACTGAAGTGTGCTGTCGTCAGTTACCAGTATTACTAGTAACAGTCTTCATACCACCTAATCATCTAATCCAGCAAAGATGCGGTGACCCTCTACTGCATTTTTCACCGAAAAGTAGAGAAGTAGATCTGCTATCGAACAATATCGTTCTCATCTGATATGGATAAAATATTCATTAGAAACTACACAAAAAAAATTCGATGAAGGAGTCTGAAGTCTATCGCTGGCATAGTTTTATTTTTCTTTTTTGTATGAAATAGAAGAAGTAATGAATAACTAAAACAAAGATAAATCTTTTTAAATTAAAGAAACTATTTAGAATTCTGACATTTGAGTAAAAAGGACTTTAATTTTCTAAGTTGCGAAAAAAAAATGTTATATCTGACGTCTTACCAAAAAACCCTTAAAGGTTTATATAAGACATTTTAAATGTAATCGAAACTTAACTTTTTTGAAAGCATATTACAGTAAATTATTCTTAATTACAGTTCCTAAGTATATTTAGTTAATTATCATATAACATTTTTAATTGCATTCTTAGTTGTGAACCTAATTATGTCAGTATAAAAAATTTAATTAATTAAATTGATTGGAGTATTTAGAAAATGTACAGTAAAAGTGTCATTTCAATATTGAAGCTCTTTGAGGTTTGATTGTTTATTTTCGAATTATAGATTATAAAAAAATATAATAAAGTTATCAGTGTCATCTGTGATGGATATGAATAAAAAACAACAAATTTTTCGAAATTATTGCATGAGTAACGTACGAAAGTTTATGTCCGAAACAAGTTTACATGGATTAAAATTTGTGGCTGATACAACGATTACTATTTGGGAGAGGTCTTACAATTTTTTTGACATATATCTATGTCATATTTAACTATTAAATAATTCTTTTTTGTAGATTGTTTTTCTTAATTTCTTTTGTGACAGCATTTGTAATTGCTATAAATTTAATATCGAATATTTATGCAAAATGGGTCAATACTCCAGTTATTATAGGTGTAAGTCCAGAACCAACATCAATATTGCAAGTACCTTTTCCAGCTATTACAATTTGTAATATGAACCAAGTACTGCTGAGTAAAGTTTCAAATTACAGCGAGTATATAAAATTAATTAATTTATTTAGACTAGAAAAACTAATTGTAATCTTAAATAGCGATTCAGTTGAAGGTGCTGTAATGAAATTACTTTGCTATTCTGAAGTTGAATTGGAGGGAGCATTGTACGAATCACCAAGTTTTAAAAATAATAATTTGAGTTTAACAGAATTTTTAGTACAGGTGAGAAAAGATATTTTAACACAACTAATCAAAATATTGTAAAATTTCATTATAAGTTTTAGTTTTTACTTTAATTTTAACACTTAATTGTCTTCAAATCCAAAATATTTAAAATCCAAACCGATTTTCAAATCACTTGCTTAATACTTACTAATGAAATGTTTTAATGTATCTTTTTCCTGCTGTGTTTTATAACTTAATATATCTTACCCCTTGCTAATACTTAATTTTTTATATATCTATTTAAACTGTTTTAATGCATCTTCTTCTGATAGCACGCTCAACCATGTTCAAGAATGCTTATAGCATGTAAAATGAATGCCTTTCTTTTCAACTGTAGTGATTTGTTTCAGGAAGTAGTAACTGATGAAGGATTATGTTGCGTATTTAATGTATTACATCCTGATTTTCTATACAAAGGAAGGTATTTAACATACAGTAAAAGTGATTTAAAAACTAATTAAATTGACTCTTATATATACATATTCATTTAGCTTTCAAGTAATCAAAAATTTGACAAACAATGATAAAACACAACCTGTGGACTGGGATCCTGAAACTGGTTATAACACAAATTTATCAAAAAGTTATTATCCGAGACCAGCCAAAGGTTTTTATCTGTCTCAGTTATTAATTAATAAAATATTTTACAAACATTTTGGTACAGGTACCGGGGTAAGCATGGGTATGTCTCTAATGTTAAATGCTGAAATAGACGAATATACATGTTCATCAACAAATGGAGCTGGGTTTAAGGTAATATTAAATTATAAAAAAAAATTTAATAATAATATGTTATATACTAAAAACAATAGACAAACGTTGCTTATTTAAAAAAATAAAATACCTTTAAATAAATTTTAAAGTAGTAAAAATACATACATATACCAAATAAGAGCATATGAATATGTTTTGTTCCAAGGCTGTTGGATTAGTCGGTGATAACTGCACTAAATAAATTTTAAAATATTTTTTTGGTTAAACTTTTACATTATTTTGCAATATTTAAAGCAAAAGTTACTTTAACAACAATTAAACATGCACAAGAATTTTCTGTTGCATTAGAAACAAAGATGCTAAGCACCCGGGACGCCCAATTGAAGTAACAGCTTTTGACAAAAGCGTGGCTAGATACACCAGTTTGTTAATGGCCCCCTGGGTCCAGTATTTATAACCAAATAATATCTATAAAATGGGCTTCTTTGAGTTTTCTGGCTTACTTATATATTCGGATAAAGTGTATCCGTGTGATTTTCTGAGGGAATTGCTTATATAGAATAATTGCCAACAGCAACGTTCTCAACATTTCCGAAAAGTTGTCAGTAAGATGTTCAAACGTATCCTAGTAATTATTAACAAACAGTATATACAAAAATTTCATCGTAATCCATATTTTTTTATCAATTTATGATTACATATAAAATGTAGACACACCAATATACTACAGTAGTTATCGAAATAGTTTACTTCTATTAATAAATGTATTTCATATTTCCAATTATTAAAAATGACTTGCTTGAAAAAATTTCGATCGAATAACTAATTCAGATTTGCAACTAAGAAAAAATCATTTAAAATTTTGAAATAACAACACAAGCATATAGTTTAAAGGGAACCAAAATTTACTTCATATTTCCTATAATATATCACTAACTTGCTAAATAGCCCTCATATCAATTATATAGAATTGAAAACTTATCCAACTTCAAAACTATATATCAAATTATCTAATACTCGAATATATGAATAATAAACTTTCGAACTATTGAATACAAAAAAATACTTATAACTATTCGAATAATTATAAATGTTCGATTAAGGACAGCTCCATTAATGAAACGAATATCGATAAAATGATATTCAAGTTTTCATGATAACCGATTAATGATAGAAATGAACAACCTTTCGATATGATTTTTTTTTTGTTTTTGAATAATTTGATCAGAGAAATTGCTTTTTGAAATTAAGTTAATAATATAATAACAACAATAATGCATATAATATATTTAAAAATTACATTAAAGGTTTCTCTCCACAATCCAATTGAAACTCCACATATTAAGGAAACAGGTTTGACAATTCCCATAGGTTATGAGACAAGAGTTCGTATAGATGCAGTACGTACAGAGGCAGTAGAAAGTATAAGATCAATAGCAATTGATTCACGTCAATGTCTATTTAAAAATGAAGTAGAACTACTTTATTATAAATATTATACACGACGCCATTGTGAGAGCGAGTGTCAATCTCAGTATGTATACGAAAACTGTAACTGTATTCCATATAATTTACCATTGGTGTACTCAAATTCGACCATATGCACTGCTAAAGAGAGTTTTTGTGTAAAGGATGCAGAGTTGGTCTGGATGGTTCAAACAAATATTACTTGCCGCAGCAAATGTTTACCAAGTTGTTTCGATCTTAGTTTTATAGCAGATACATTTTCATCACCTTTAGCCAAACGAAATTACTTAATACCTAGTGTTATTTTACGTAATATGAATAAAACTAACGTCACCGAAAATATAGCCATCTTACATTTTTATTATCGCGAATCTGTTTTTTATGGTGAACTTCGAAATATATATATCGGATTAACTGAATTTTTATGTAAGTCTATCATTTTCATGAAAGGAAATCTTTAAACATTGTAACTATATATATACATAATTTTTACAGCTAATACTGGTGGTATAATGGGCCTATTTATGGGATTCGGCTTTATTTCAATAGCGGAAATTGTCTATTTTACATTTTTAAGACCAATTTTTGAAATTCTACTACCACAAATTCAACAAAATCAAACAAAGATGATAAAGAATAAAAATTATAATGCGTGGAGCGCAGAAAAATCCAAAAGACATTCGAAAAATTTAAGGAAGCTAAAACCCCATATGTATAACATAAAAAAAATCATGGACAGTAAAAATGAAATTTACTGATTCAATAGAAAAGTATTAAAATGAAAACAATATACAATTTTTTTCATACTAAATTACTACTTATTTACTATATTTACACTGCACTATTAGCCGTCTCTAATATATGTTATCTAATTATGAATAGGTGTTTACACTAACTCAACTTAAATAGCAAACAATGAATCAAAGCCAAAAAAGATAATGAATAACAAATTTCTCAAAAATTTAAAAAGATTAAGTTTCAAAATTAATTATATTAAATTTTAAAAAATTATTAAACAATATGTATTATAAAAATAAACCCAACTACACTAATTAGATTATTTTTACTTTTTATTTAAAATTTTCAAAAATATACAATTTTTTATTTATTTACCGACCTGTTTTTTTATAATGGTTTTTATATATTTTTAAACCAGCTGTAGGCCCCTTTTTGTTAAATAATTCAATATCTAATATTTTTTATTGTATTCTATACTTCGACTCGCCTTGATAGTCATCATCATGATTGCAATTAAAACTATATCTAAAACTATATCCAAAAATGCCTTCGTTATTTTTATTAACACTTGCACACGTTACCACAAAGAAGTTTTTCGCAATTGAATGATGAGTAATTGCGTTATTTGGAAACTATTCGCAAATTGAGTACGAAAATGCATTAATTTAGCTGGTGTAAAAGTATTTTATTAATTAATTTGTAAGTTAACATTAAAATTATTTTTGAAGTTAACTAAGAATAAAGTACTAGACTGCTAGGTCCTTCACCCTGTGCTTACACTCATGTTAAGATTTATATCTAAATTTCAGTTAATGTCTTTGGATAGATGTAGCTTTATTATATTATAGTCACTATTCTTGATTGCGTTGAAAAGGCTTTTGTCGTAGGTTGGGTTGTTGTAGCAGTTTATGAGATGACTCATGGTTAGCATACACCCACATTTGTAGCATGTTGGTTGTATATTCCTTTATGTGTAAAAGAAATGTTACATTATTGACACGTTTTAACTATTCCAAAGACAATATACAAGATAAAAATTAGAAATGATATATGATTTAGTGATAAATAAATAAATTATTGAATTGATATCATATTTCTTTTTTGTTAAAAAAAAACTAGATGATTGATTAAAGTTACTTTCAAACCTTAATCCGACTTATAAAATTAAATTTATTATTTAAAGGCATAAAGAAGAACAAGAAGAAATAAAAAGTACAAGGAAGGAACTAGGAAGAAGGAACCAGGAAGCTAGGAAGATCATGAAGACTGTTTTTTTTTAAATGTCAAGTCAAATATTTTTGAATAGAATACACCCTAAATAGATATTTTTAAACTTTGGCGCAATGCAACTTTTAAATCTATTAAATATGTTAAATTGAAGTAATGTAGGCACGAGTAGATATATAGTATAAGAGCAGCATAACAGTAGTAATATTATTGGCATATATGTAGTATAAGAGATGGTTATATCAATAAATAAACAAGTTTAAAGAATTGTAAATGTAGAACGTAAAATTTTAAAAACACTTTCCATATTTCTATACTTTTTAGTCGTTATTTATCTTTCATTTAAGATTATCTACAAAAAAGTTATAAAGTTATAAAATTATAATAGTTATAAAGTTATATTGAGGCGAAACCATCTCGGCTCATATACCATAAAATTCTGTAACGTTTCAATGCGTCATAATGAGTCCACATGTGTGAATAAAGTTTATTTCGAAATAAAAATCAAACTCAACCTCAAACTCTAAAATCATTAAAATGATTTACTAGCGTAATAATGAATAACCGTAAGGACAACATATACAGCGTAAGGACAGGCCATTTTGTTCTTGATTTTACTCATTCAACTCGTTCGCTTGAATCATAATTAGTAAGTACAAAAACAAATTTAAACCAATTTTCCTTATGCATATAGTAGAAATATCATGTATACAATTTTTTGGATAATTCAAATAATATACAAAATTTTATGTAATGAGGTGAAAATATCGCGCAGTACAAAAACAAAAAGCCTAATGCTAGACAATTTTGCGAGATGATTTTCCCCACCCGGTCTTACTAATTTACCCATCCGGTCCCTACTCACCACGATGTTTGCTAAAATATGAGCACTTTTCGGGGAATTTTCATTGTTTGTTTTGGTTTTTTGACGTTAAAAATCGGTTAAGAGTTTTTTTTGTGACATTATACAAAGAGGCACAATGAATCAAAATTTCCTCTCAGTTTCCTTTCTTTATCTTTAGCTGCGTTTCAGCAAACATGATCCGCTCAATGATCTGAATCATCTTTGCTGAAACGATACGGATTACGTTTGAAAATAATTGGCAACGCATGAAATATGCCAGTTGGGTTTGTGTACAAAATTTTTTGATTTATGTGAATAATTTTGGCGCTAAAAAAATAAGTGAGAAAATTTTGAATACAAAAAATCTAAAAAATGGAAAATAAATAAAATCTGTTGAAATGTCTGAAGTATGAAATGTAAGTTTTTATTTAGTATTTACTTAAAAACTTAAATTTAATTCTATAGTAAATAAATGAAAATTGCAGATTTTATTAGAATTATCGAGCGAAACTGACTCTTCCATTTTCTTTTTAAATACTAGTTCAAGTGTATTAAACTCAAGGGATGAAGTGCATCAGCATGGATATAGTGAAAGTTTTGTGGAAACGATCAGTAATTCTTTCGTTAAAGATTATTTGATTGGTATTTGCACATAAAAAATACAATTGCTATATATTAATTATGTTTCATATTTTAATAGATTTGTTAATAAATTCCAATCAGCAAATGCAAAATAACCGTGATGATCACAATCGGACGAGAGCAATGAAGGAATTTTATATATTTTTGTGGTATATGGCAAATATGAATACTTTTTGCGAATTTGGTATTTGTTTTGGCATACCAAGAGCTTCTGTATGGAGAATAAAAGAACTAGTGTTTAACGTATATCAATTGGACACTAATTTATAAAATACGCACTTGCTAATAATGCAAAAGTGGAAACTTCGAAAAAATTCCCGTTAGTAATTGGTTGCATAGACAGCACACATGTAAAAATAAATGCACCACACCATAGCAAATAGGCTTATTTCAAAAGAAAGCATGACTATAGCTTAATCTTGCAGATAGTTTGCGATGAAAATGGTTTTTTTTATAAACGTGTATGTTGGAGAGCCTGTTTCCTTATGTATTGTTCTGTTTTAATTAAATAAATGTATTCAACTTAATGTTTATATATTCATTTCAAATTAATTGATTTTCATAAATTATCAAACAACACTTATTTAATAATAATAAAAATAAAACGTAAATAATTAAAGTAATAATTTTAATTAATTTTAATAATTTTAATTTATAGTAATAGTAATAATTAAAACATTACTTCAAACAAAGAAATAAATAATAATGACATATTAAATAAATATGTAAGTACATAAAATAAATAATAAATAAATAAAATCAATAATAAATAAATATAAATGTAGATTTCTTTATAATTTTACTGCACCGTTGCATCGCATTGCCAACCTCATTTGCATTAAAATGCGTTCCACTTTTATCTTTTACACACATTCCACATTGAACCAGAAAGTGAACCAGATCAATTGCTGGTTCACCCCATTGTTTTTGTT